AGAGGATGTCATCATCTACCATCCCCTCAGATTTCCACTTACCATCCCTTCAAATTTTCTCAGCTAAACTGCAACTCTTAGAAGTAGCTGGTGTGGAGTGGGGATATAACTAGAACTGGTTTGTTAAATGTGAAATAAAAATGTTTTTCTCAGTGCATGGAAAACAAATATTTGCAAAATCATGAGCTGACATGTACTGTAGGTCTATCATTTAGCAATAAAACAACTGAGAGTCTTGTAAGATCTTAAAGACTAACATGATTTAATTGGTTTAAGCTTTCACGGGCTGCCTTAGATGCAGAAGTAGGTTGCAGTTAACAAGTGCTTGTTTTGAATAAAACATTATTTTTTTAAGGATCAGATGGAGAAGTTCATGTTATGGGCAATACAGGGCTGCTGAACACCACTTTTGTGGTCCCTCAAGCTCCCTGGCATTCCCCCCATTCTCCTTGGAAAAAAACTGCCACAAAATTACACCAAACATACCCAGATTTCCCACAAATGCAGCAATTTTCTTCCACTTCAGAGATTGTATTGTTTTAAAAATCTAATGTTAATATCCAAAACTATGATACAAGAAATGAAGCTGTTACAATATTATTATTATTATTATTATTATTATTATTATTATTATTATTATTATTATTACAATAAAGTTGTCATTTGGAAAGGACCACACCCACTGCCATCCAGGAATACACGATTAAAGTAGTCCTGAAAGATGCCCATCCCACCTCTATTTAAAGACTTCCAAAGACTGAGAGTTCACCACCCTCTGGGGCAGTCCATTCTATTGTCAAACAGCTCTTATCATAAATAAGTTTGTTCTAATGTTTAAGTGGAATCTTTTTTCATGTAATTTGAATTCACTGATTCATGTTCTAGTCTCTGAAGCAGTAAAAAAAAAAACAAGTTGGCTTCATCTTCTACATGATATTCTTACAAATATTTCAAGATAATTTATCATGTGACTGAGTTTTCTCTTTTCCAGGCTAAACATACCCAGTCCCCTAAGTAATTCCTCATTAAGGCTTGGTTTCCATACAGAATAATGAGGGGGTCTAGAAATTGCGTCATATAAGATATGGTTGCATGAGATGGAGCAGTTTGGTCATCTTGGCTTCCAGGGAGGTTTCTAGTTTGATCTGCTCTAGGACCCATTTGTTTGTCCTTTTGGCTGTCCATGGGATCCTACACTCTCTTCTCCAGCACCTCATCTCAAATGCATTGATTTTCTTCCTATCATCTTTCTTATCTGTCCAGCTCTCATATCTATACATGGTGATAGGGAATACAATGGCTTATATGTTTCTAGTTTTTGTTCTGATTTGTATATTTTTGCATTTTAAAATCCTTTCTATTTCTTTCATAGCCACCCTCCACATTCTTAATCTTCTTCTGATTTCCTGACTGCAGTCCCCATGTCTATTAATGTTTGATCCCAGGTATGGGAATTATTTTACTATTTGTATTTGTTGATTGTCTAGGTTGAAATTGTGAAGGTCCTTGGTGGTCATTATTATTTTTTCTTTATGTTCAACATTAAGCCTGCCTTAGCACGTTACTTCTTTGATCTTCCTTAGTGGGTGTTCCAGTTCTGTGAGATTTTCTGCTAGTACTATGGTGCCATCTGCATATCTTAGATTGTTGATATTCCTTCCTCCTATTTTCACTCTTCCTTCTTCCGTGTCCAAGCCTGCTTTTCTTATAATATGTTCTGCATACAAGTTGATCAGAAGCTTGATACTGAAAACTTAATCTTACTATCTTTATAACATTTTCTGATCTACAGTTATTTTTAGTAGAGACAGGATGAAATAGCTAATCAAGACAATTACTGGTTAAACAAATGGATCCATTCAACAGTTTAGGAAATCATGGTCTGAAGGACTTACAATGCCATCCTATGAGTTCAGTGAGAGCTGCTTCCAGTTACATTTGCTTAGGACTGCAGCCTTAAATACTGCACACCATCAACATCTCTTTCCCAGTCAATTTTTGATAGTTTGACAAGCTAAAGCTGCAATTTACATATAGTTATTTTTATTGTTAAGAATGGGAGGCCTGTCATTCAAAGTGTCTATAGATAACTGTTATGCTGGTGCATTGTTCCAATGCAGAATAAGCTCCCATTAAATTAATGCCACAGCTGTTCACTAATCTCTTTTTCTCTGAACTGTTACTGTTGCCTTGAAGTTGAATGGATTTGTAGTGACCTGATACCCCTATTGTAAGCATTAAAAAACAAAACAACTCCCTTCACAAAGTATTCAATTTAAGGACATTTAAAACAAACAAACAAAAGACAGAGCAAAGCAGCTTCATTTATATACTGCTTCATATCACGCTTTGGGATGTCTAAGCAGTTTACAACTGTAAGCTCATTGCCCCCAACAGTTGGGTACTCATTTTACCGACCTCAGAAGGATGCAGGCCTCAGTCTAGCCTGAGCCCTGGCTAGTATTGAACTTGCAACCTTGTGGTCTATGAGTGAGTGGCTGCAGTACAGGCATTTAACCACTGCACCACCAGGGCTCTTTGAATTACTCAATGAATTGTGCTCCAGCTATACTAGACTACAACTCCCATAATGTAGTACAGTTCCTCTGGAGAACACCAGCTGGAAAAGGCTAATCTAGAAGTAATGCAAAATATTACTTAAGTCAATTATTTTGACTTAAGTCATATTTTGCATTATTTCTAGATTAAGTCACAATGGTCAGAACTTTGTTATTATGGGAAGTTAATGGACATGATCCTGCATTGGGAGACATGTGTTTTCATGTGCCTACATCACTGTAGGTACATCTACCACTGTTAATACCTTTAAACCCACCTTGTAAGCAGTGCAGCCATTTCTGTATTGTTGGAGAATAGGGGATCAGTGGAGATTCATCCAGCTATTTTCCTGTAGCTGGATGTGCTGCAACAGGCATTACAGGAACCACCATGGGATCCCTGTATGTCCCTGTAGATAGTGTCCTTCCAGGATGTCCAAGAACAAGAAAATTACTGGGTGCATCCCCACAAATCCCTCTACTCTCTAACATCATGGAAATGGCTATGTTGCAGGGTGGTGGTTGGTTGGTTGTAACTTGGATTGGGTGAGATTTTGGTCATCACACATGCAGAACAGCATTCTGACCTCCACAATGACCACAAACTGAGCTGCATTGTAAAGCACTAATGGGATGCTAACCTAATATTTCTAAAGTTGCAGTCCTGTGAATTAAAGCTACTGAAGCTTACTGCTGAGTACACATGTATAGGGTTGCACTGAAAATCCATGTTAGAACTACATCTTCTCTCTTAATTAAATTTTTACCATATATTTCATGCTAGGGTTATCAAGTGAATGTTCATTTTTGCTGAAATTTTTCTTCCCTTATATGTAAACTATACTATGGGGGATTTGAGAGAGGGGGGAGCATAGTTTCTAAAGAATAGTGAATAGCATATACTTCCCCTGATCTTTCTCACAAATTAAAATCATCACTTGACTTTGTATTTAATTTTCCACTAAATTATTTGTCATTTATTTTATTTTTAATTTTTTTTTTTTTTGTACAGAAGCTTTGATTTAGAATGGAAGAGTAGAACATATATTTGAGAATGATGTGCTTTCAGCTCAAAAGAAGGTCAACCATCTAACCAGTTGACCATATGAGAGACACTGAAACGCCTTTGTACTCTTGGCCAGCTGGTATAGCCCCAAGGCCATTAGACTGGTGAAATAGCATTAACCTAATTATGATGCTGAGCAACATCTGGCAAATTTGGCAGTAGGTTCAAAATCCATTGTCCGCTTGAGTCAAAGGATGAATGCGCCATGAGTGTACGTTAGGATGCGCAATCATAAAGCCCCCCATTAATGAGCAACGATCACAGGGGCACTCTTGGGTAACTTCATCCAATGAAATTAATGGCATACAAAAAAACAGTGGCAGAAGGCACAAAAGTGCTGATGCCAGTGAGACTGACACGCTGCGGGCGATGTCTGACATCAAGGCCGTGGGCTGTTGTGCGTTGTGATTTATGTCAATGGTGTGATGGATGACTTTCAGATCATTCCCATTCTATCATATCTCTGAGAAATTTCCCTTCCTCAAGCACCTTTTTGTTCTCCAACTCTAGCCTGCAGATGGTATCAACCCACACATCTCTATTGTTTGAAGGCCACAGTGGACGTCACCATTCTTTCAGATGGTTGAGAGATACTCTCATCCAATTAAGGCTTGAAAATCTGGCTTTGGGGAGTTTAACCTCTGTCACTGTGCCCCTTTCACAATTTCCATAGGTTCTACTCAGTGCTATTCAACTATGCCTTAAAAAGAGCATGGGAGAGGAAAAAAAGAAAGAGAATGCATCACATTCAATTTAGTTTGTATAATAAAGTAACTGCAAATGGGCATTATACCCAAGTCCTAAAGATAGATTGAACATTTCTTTGATTTCAGTAGAATTTCATCATGATGACTTAAGCCTCAACATGCCAATCAGACACTTTAAAAACCATAACCCACAATTTGACCTTACATGAACCATCTGCATGCCAAGATAGTTCTACTGGCAATCAGCAAAAGATAGATATGGAAAGAAAACTTTCAACATAAAGATTCAGCTTGCCATTGGCATAACTCATCCTGTATCTGGGTTAACTATAGTTATTAAATGAAAGGTTAAACTTGAGGATTCAATCAGCCTTCTGGCATATTTTGTTGTGGTAATTTATGGACTTTAAAAAAATCCTCCAAAATGGAAATCCATTTGTATTCCTCCTTGGGAAGAAGACATTATTTATTTATTTTTTTGGCAATAAAGATTGCTTAAGATGGTTGTTATGATGATGAGGTCATACTGAGGCCATTTCACACTACACAATTATGTCATTATAAGTGCCATAGCTCCATCCTAAGGATTCCTGGAATTTGTAGTTCAATGAGGTACTAGTGCTCTCTGGCTGAGATATCTAAATACCTCTCTCTAAACTGGAAATGAGAGTCAATGTGGTATAGTGGTTTGATCGTTTGACTAAAAATCTGGAGGTCAGGTTTCAAATCCCCACTTGGCCATGGAAACCACTGGGCAAGTCAAGCCTTAGAGGAAGGCAATTGCAAATTCCATCTGAACAAATCTTGCCAAGAAAATCCTGTAATAAGTTGGCCTTAGGAGAGCCATAATTTGGAAACAAGTTGAAGGCAACACCAACTCCAATAATAACAACAACAAAACAATCTGCAAATCCTAGGTTTCCATAGGATGAAACAGTGAAATCATAGTATTATAACTGTGTGATGTGAAAGGGCTCTTTCAAAACAAAGGTGATGTTGCTCTCTTCCATATTGCTTGAAACAAATAATCAAAGCAACTGATAGGATTTTTCTCACCATGGAAATGTCAGGACATTTTCAGGACTCTCTTCAGGATATTCACATAAATCATGTGTTAATTTTTTATACCAGCTAAATGGGGTTGAGATGAGGAATCTGAAATTTATCAGTGGATTGTTTCATTTAGTTTTGAAGGGAGAAATTCAGAGCCAGCAAACCAGATGAGTCAGGAAACAATTAGTAAAGATGAGAGAGAGAAAAAAAAGAGAGAGAGACTATAAATGATAAGGATAAACTGAAGATAAATCCACATAGATTTAATAAGCCAAAAAATCATTGGTTTGTTATAAATAAATAAAAAATCAATATGATTTGTGGGAATAAATAAATAAATAAATATTTGACACAGGAAACACACTTCTGTACAATTGAAGACAAACTATGCCTCTATTTCAATCTGTAAACAAACCAATACTTAAAAAATATTGGACTGGGAGGGGACCAAAAGGCATTTGTTACTGTATAAGAAATATCAGACAGATGAGTTGATCCTGGGTTGTTATTTTTTTTATAAGAATGAGAAAGTTCTGTGTTATTTCTACATTGTCCATTGAAGAAAACTGCATATGTTGAATGATGTCTGGCTCTTATAATATTAGTTTATTTAAAATGTTTGTTATCAGTGTGCTATTGTGCTTGAAATTCCCATCTAGTTGAACTTCACCTGTTTTTGACGCAAATATATATTTATGTATATATTCAGAACAAATAATATGGATTATAACATACCAATAATCATTTGACTGATTGAACCTGTTTAGGTTTATCTAAAGTCTATCTTTATTATTTACAATGTGTAGATATGTAGATATGCAAATATCAGTTTTATTTTCCAGACACTTTTGGTTTGTTGGTTCTTAGTTTTTGAATTAAGCCTTATTTTTCTTTTTCTTTTATTTTATTTTGAAAATGCAGAGCCTTCAGACATTTCATTATTCAACTTAACTAATTTTTTTGCTTCTTCTGTTCTGTTCTATTCTTCTGGAGCCATTCCTTAGCATGGTATAGAGAATACAAAGACCTAAACCTGGATTCATTCACTTCATAAATACAGGTCAGAGCTTAGAGAAGTTACTTTTTGGACTAAACTCATGGAATTGTGGGGCGAAGTAATTTTGTTTGAGTTGGAGCTTTCTAAAATTAGTACAAGCTGTCCTGAATTCCATTTAGAAAGAAAGGTGGGATATAAGTGCAGTAAGTAAGTAAGTAAGTAAGTAAATGCATGTATGTCAAGTTCTCCAGCATGATTCTGTGGTGTGCTTCAGTGAAGGGAGACCATAGAATTACACTGGAAGACCTAGAAATACCTACATAGAATATATTTTTTTCATATGGAGATAAGTAAAACCACAGATACTGAATCCACGGATATGGGAGATCAATATATTGCTTTCACAACATGTGAAAGATTGCTTTATTCTGCTAGTGATCTTAACTAATAATTATTGGGGCAAATAATGAGCAGTGCAACAAGTAATGCAAGAAGTTAGTTTTCAACATTGTAATGAGCAATGACAATGGGTTACTTTTTAAATACTGTAAAAATTAATGGGAATGTTTTTGTTTTAAAAAATAGCCTTCTTAGGAGGAGGAGGAAGAACAGCAGTAGCCTGACAGGCCAAGAAGTGAAAGATGTTGTGTGGGTGTGGAGTAGGTGTCAGAGACAAAGAACGTTTTGAGTCTAAACCTTTGCATGTGAGCATGTGGGTGTGCCTCATCAGCCATTCAGTTGCTGCTCTCCATTTTTAATCTGGCTGCTCATTAAATTGTCAGTGTTTACTATAGTTGTAATGATAAATTTATATTGTACATTTTGTCATTTTACTCTGTATTTTCACATTTAGTTTAAGGTGTTTTGTGTTTGATTTTTTTAATTTTAAAAAAGCCAGATAGAAATACATTTGATACAAGTATATCATATAGGCATAGGTATATGAGGGGGCATCTTTAAATGTTTGTATATTTCTGTATGCCATTTATGTGGAAAACAGAGCAGGGAAGAGATGAAAAATGTATTCTTCTTGAAAGTGACTTTCTTCTGTAGTCTCTCTGTATATATTCCCCTTTGTCTTTCTCTGGTATGGGGAAGAGGGGTCAGAATAAGTTCCTCTAAAACAGGAACTTATCCTCTTGAAAGGTTGTCTTCACCTTTGCTTCACCTCTGCCTTACCTTTAGCACATCTGGGATAACAAGAAAAAGAACAAAGCATTCTGGGTTTTTTTTTAAAAAAAAACTTTTTTATCTTTAAGGTGCTTGCAATACTCTTTTGCCATTTATTTTTGCTGTCACAGACTAATACAACTACCCTCTCATTATCCAGTGTTAGCAGTTTATATAACTTACTTTCCATCCATAAGAACAGAATTACATTTCAAAGTGGGGTGTATATCTTTTAAGATTTAAATAGTACTTCATTCTAATTTCTGTTCTCTCTCTCTCTGGGCTGATGCAGACTGGCCAAAAGGGCCGGCCTGGGGTTGGAGTTGGGGTGAGGCAGCTGAACACTAGCTGCCCTGACTCCACCCCGACTCCACCCTGATGCTGTGTGCCCATCTGCACGGTGCACAGCTTCAGGACACCCTCCTGGCCAAAAGGGTGCAAAAGAGCTGCCACAGTGGCTCAAAGGGCAGCCTTTGCCACCCCCAAAAGGAGTGACATTTTGCTGCTCTTTTTGGGCAACAAAAAGAAGGATCAGGGCTGCATTATGTGGTTGCCACGGCCCAAATCCACCACTCCCAGGGCTGGCTGAGAGCCGTCCCTCTCTCTCTCACTCTCTCTTTCATTATTTTCTATATAGAATTACCAGGGATGTGAGCTCTGTTTCAATGGCCCAGGGACTAGTTCTGTCTGTTGAGTGATGATTAGAAAGCTTGGTAAGTTTCTTCTCAAACAACAGAATAATTCTTGCTGAAGTATTTTATGTAAGTAGGTCAAAAGAAAATGAAAGCTGTCCTTGGGCAGCTTCAGTATTTATTGCTTGTTAGTTTTTTTTTCAGGGTTGAAAAGGGATAAAAACATAAATTTCCTATTGCAAAGCTCCGTTTCATTTCATTTTATTTTCAATTTTGGTATCACATGAGAATCTGCTCTGGAATTGAAAACACTAACACTTGTGTCAAGTTTCTTCTTCTCTTTCCCTTTCTCTCTATATAAAGTGGGTCAGAACTGGTTCATAAATATGCTTTTTAGAGTTAAAAATACCAAAATTTGGAGTTTTTACCAGATAGGTACACAAAACAGTTAATTAAACAGTTCCAAAACTTTACTACTCTAGGCCCTTGGTATCCACTGGGGTTTAGTTCCATGACTCCCTGTGGATAGCAAAATTTGTGGATGCTCAAGTTCCATTGTATACAATGACATAGTAAAATGGTGCCTCTTATATAAAATGGCAAAACCAAGGGTTTTTTTTTTTTTTTTTGGAGGCCAGGTCTTTGTTTTGATCCCATTAGATATGGAGGCCAGGTCTTTGTTTTGATCCCATTAGACACACATCAAGATTGGTTATTCTATGATCACGCATGTAGATATGCAGGGCATAAAAGACAGACAGACAGACAAACAACTGGCTCTGCTTATATCTCCACCATAGAAGATCTTTGGGGAGGAAATCCTCTTCTTTTGAAAATGAAAGCTTAACATTGAGGGTGAATCACTGTAATATCCATACATGATAAGGACTTGTCTTTTCAGAGAGGCAGATACAGTAGTGTAAACTACCCTCCATATTTCATAGATGAAAACTGTGATCCATATGGGCATACAACATCAGAGAGTAGTCAAGAAGACAAAGGTTATTAATGAATAAGTACAAACAAGCTAGAAGAGGATGTAGCAGATTGCTTTTGCCTGAATCTACGGAGAAGGGTAACATTTCATATCCTCTTGTCCTCTCCTCTCTTCCATCCACAGTGAGTTAACTGAGTTCAAACTACTTTTGTACTTTGAACTCAATTTGCAGCAATAGGTGTAAATTGAGGGCAAAGGGAGAAAGTGGGAGGAGGGAGAAAAATTGGGATGTTTTAAAAGCAATTGAGAAAGTGGAATGACATAGAGATAGTTGGAGGGTAAGATGTAGGATCTACTAATAGTACAAGTGAGCAAAGTGTGCTACTCCTTAGATTTTTGGACAACAAACTCCTATTGTTTTTCACCATTAGTTGTGATGGGTAGGGCTGATGGAAGTTCCTGTTCACCAGCATCCAGATATCTGCATTTTGCTTACCCCTTCTTAAACAAACCAATATTCATGGAATAATCAGGGGCCAGGAATAGATTTTCTCTCTTTCAAATGGTGCATATCATTCTTTTCTTCCACATAAGTGGGTGGTGGTCATTCATTCCTATGGGAAGTAAGATAAAAAGTGGACTCCACCCATCACAGTACCTTGGTGCTCCCAGGCTGGAATCCTGTGATTTTCATGTCACCTTCCCACTGGTCTTTGCAATACACAGGCTGATTTTATAACAAATGAAATTCCACTGCAAAAGTAGTGAAATGGTCTTACTGTGAGATTTATTTTGTCATAGGAGGCTAGGGTGTAAATGTCCAAATAAGTCTACACTTAGCTCTGAATTTTACAGAATTCCAGATCCTCTTTATTGCAAAACAATGGTCGCATTTCTATTCTGAGAATTGTCCCTGTTCACAGAATATCTGAGTGAAGCACTTATTCATGAT